CAAACGACCTCATGCGCTCCAAAGGGCCGTATGCCACATCCACCACTCGCGAGTATCGAGGCGGACCATTGCACACCCCAAAAGGCAGCACATTCCACACAAATACACCCAAGGGCGTTAGAAACGCGGTCAAGGGTCGCGATGCCTCATCCATCTCCATGGCGTAATATCCGCTATGCCCATCCATGCTTGAGTACAGCGGAGCGCCGGCTAACTCTTCGAGGATCTCATCAACTCTTGGCAAAGGGAATGGGTCGGTCAGAGTGGCGCGATTCAATGCCACGAACGTACAACACAGCCTCAGTTCGCCATTCTTTTTTGGAGGCAGCGTGACGCCCGACAGCCATTCCACCTCACCTTCCCACTTAGTAATGAACCCAGCTTCCAGTAGCGCGTTAATCTGGTCCCGCAGAAATGCCATTTCCTTAGGAGCGAATCAACGCTGACGCCCGCACCTTACTGGGCGACTCCCCTCTCGCAGATTGATCGCGAACTTCATGTACGGGGTGCGTTCCAGATCAGCATACGACAAGGCAAAACAGTCCTTAAACTCCACCAAGATTGACCGAATCTCCTCGACCACAGGGGGGCTCAGCGAGGGGCCGAAATGGATCTCTTCCATCCACAAGTTTTCCGTATCATCGCGTATGCGCGAAAGACCAGCAAACCGTGCCGGCGAACTGGCGTCATCCTCCCAATTTTCCTTGTGACTCATGCCCCACTGGGCGAGCAACCCGTCCAATTCCCCTACCATGTCCTCTGGACCTGAATCCTGCTCCGGATCCCCACTGTCTTCGGAGTCGCTATCGCTGCTACTGGCGTCCATCGCGACCACTTCCAACTGTCTTCCCCTTTGCTGCACTTGAACCTCCCCCCCGGCGAGCGTGTGAATCTGCGAATTAAACTGGGGCCCCGTATTGGTAAGGGCAAGCCAATCCTGCCCCAACAGGATGTCATAGGAGCCGCTTGCGTCGACACAACAAGCGGGTACAGAAGCTGAAACCCCCTGGATGTCTACCGTAGCATCCTCCGCTAAGCAATATACTGGAGCGGTCTGTCCATTTGCGAGCTCGATACCAGGCAGTTTGCCCGCGATTCGCAGATGCAACCGGTCGGCGCATGCTTTGTCAATCAGGGAATGAGATGACCCCGGGTCCAAGATTACCCTCCGAACGTGCAACCCGTTCACTGTGCATTGAGCATGGATCCCAGTCCCATCAATTCGCGCAGCTGGCGGTGCCTCCAAACCTCGCCCTACATTACCTCCCGCAGATCGGGGCTTTCTGGTGGCCCCCAGCAAATCTTGTAATGCCAGGACCAGCTGCGTATACACTTCTCGCTTCGAGAGGCCTTTCATCATACCGATTGGGATGACGCAGGTCCTAGCCACGTGCTCCCTCCACTCGGGTAGCAGTGTGGGTCGAGTCCACGGTTTCCTGGGTCCCTCTCCCTTCCGCCTCTTGCGGCTACCAACCATGCGGGCGGCCGCCTGTTCCGTGTCACTCCAAGGCGCCTCTTCCTCCGATGTCCATCCCCCCATCTCCCCCTCCGGATCATTCACACATGCCCTTGTCAGTATCGTCTGCGCCAATCGACCGACTCGCACATCTCTCTGCTCGCCCGCTCGACGCGGCACTTCACGCGCGGGGCCCGCGCGATTGCCGCCCGTCAACTGGGGTGGTACACCCTCATCACGACCCTGCACATTCTCCCCCGCATTCGGCCGCGGCCCCCCGCTTGCAATCGGTTCCTGGCACTGCCATCGAACATGTCCCGTTTTACCGCATCGCCAACATTCAATAGGGCCCCGCGGAATACCTCGTTCCCGCATATCCCGCGGCCCCATCTGTCGCTGCGGCCCCGCAGATGATTCACCCCACGTCCGAGCATCGCGCCCTCGAGGTCGTGGACCGGAGTTGCCCCCTTCTGACCAGTCAACCCCTTGCTGCCATGCGCCCCCGTGTGCGTGAGCGCGTAATGCCCATTCCCCCAATGCGTCCAACAGTTCTGCCCCAGCGTCCTGACGCTCTTCAGCAGGGCAGTGCGTATCATCGACTTCCGCACTCCGCGAGGCGCACTCCTTCCGAGTCGCTATATCCGCCGCGCTTTCTAGATCCACATATCCCAGGAACGCACGCGGAACGCCTCCTTGACCTCCGCCCATGTGCGCGCCTCATTGAACAACCACTTCGAATGAGCGCGCACCCACCGCGTCGCTTCACCCGAGGTGCTGACCGTCAACAACGCGATCTTCTGCGCATCATTGTTCACCCCTCCTGCTACGCAAATCCCTTCGAAATGCAACAGCCACCCTTCTACATCTTCTTGCGCCCCATCCCCCGCAAAGAATCGGGGTCGCAACCTCATACTCCCTGTTTCTCACGGCCACCAGCTCCTCGGCAGCCACACCACCAATAGATTGCCAGCCGCACGTCTCCCCGGCGTCCAGGCGAGTCAGGTCCCGGCGTTGGAACCACTGTTAAGCAAGCACCGCAGTGCTGCCCCCGGGATCATGACCCGCGGCTGCGCCAACGGCTGGCCTCGCGGGGTTGGGCCCCATCACGATTGGGCGCCCTTACACGGAGCGATCGCCCTCATGGGGATACGGGGGAAGGAGAGTCGGCCTTTGAGTCCGTAACGAGGGATGTTCCTTACACAGCAGCACCACATATATACACTATGACAGATTAGTATTCCTGTCTGGTTTGACTCCAACATGGTGTGTCCAATTCCCATTGCCCTCGCCAGGAACTCCTTTCCCTGAAATCCGCCCATCAAAGCCATGAACAAGCTTTGCATCTCTTTGCGCTAACAGCACTATGCGCCCTAGAACGAGCCGTCCTCTGCTGTTCACTTCCTGCCTTTGGTGCATAACATGTTCGTCACAACTCCCTCCCACAATCCAAACACTGGCACGTGCCCAAATCATATAATCCAAAACCACATCAAAATATAAAATTTTTCACAAAAGCATAGTCACGGCGAATCACACAAACAGTCTCAGCCAATCAAGCATAACCCAAAGCATAGAACTGCCTTCTGCCTTTTCGGTATGCTCCCTGGGTTAGCGCCCCAATCTTACTCCCATCAATCCCATCAATGACACTCCCACCAATCACCATACGCAAGCATCGATGACCAGGCGAGTCAAAAAAAGACTCTCACAGCATCAGCCCTGACTCAGCATGTTATACGCTCAGTGCTCTCGCTGCACTCGCTGCACTCGGCGCACTCTCCACGTACTCTCACTGCCAGAAACACCACCGATTGCACACAGCGTCGCCCTCTCGGCGAGCTGACCCACTCCCCGCGCGCCCTCCGCGCCAGGAACACAATACTCTCACAGCATCGCCCTCTCGGCGAGCTGACCCCTCTCAGCACAATCTCTGCGCCAAGAGTCACAATCACTCGCTCACAGCATCACCCTCTCGGCGAGCTGACCCATTCCCAGCGCGCCCTCTGCGCCAGGAACACAACACTCTCACAGCATCGCCCTCTCGGCGAGCTGACCCCTCTTAGCGCAATCTCTGCGCCAAGAGTCACAATCACTCGCTCACAGCATCACCCTCTCGGCGAGCTGACCCACTCCCAGCGCGCCCTTTGCGCCAGGAACACAATCACTCTCACAGCATCGCCCTCTCGGCGAGCTGACCCCTCTTAGCGCAATCTCTGCGCCAAGACCCACAACCACTCACTCACAGCATCGCCCTCTCGGTGAGCTGGCCAAGTCCCATGACACCCCCAACACAAACGAATCACCGTCCCCGTCCCAGCATTCACTCGCACACCTAGCATCAGGTCCATTCACAACGCCGATCTGAGCATCTGGCACACGTTCTCACGGCCAAGCGACCCTCACGACAGCTACAACTCAAGCCAGTCTAAGCAATCGCCCCGGCAGTGACCAGCTTGACGAGTCAAGGCAGGGATCCCAACCATCGAACCCCAAGGTGATCGATTAGCAGCCGCGCCCACCCGTCAGCTGTCACCCCGTTGAGCCCCGTGTCCATTCTCTGCCTTCTCACCAGAAACCTCGACGCTTCCTGCCGCCTCACCACCCCAGCATGGCTTCAGCGCTCTCCCACCATCCAGCGCTCTTTCACCGCCCAGCACTCTCCCGCCATCTGCCCTCATGCTCCACGCCGCAATCTCCCGCGCAGCAGCGCCCCTCTTCTCCACGCCCCGCGAGCGCCGATCTGCGAGCCTTGTTTGATGCGGAGTCCCGGCGATGGAACCACTGTTAGTGCCGGTGCCCACGACTGGGCAGCACAGCGGCCGGATTCCTCGCGGATGCCCGGCGGAGACCGTGCGCTCAAACAGGCCTCATCAGCCACACGTCCGACTTGGTCAGGTCCCAAGCAATTGTTACAGAACAGGGCTTCCTTATATAGGCGATCGTCCAAGCGTACAGCTGTCAAATGCCTCCCCGTTGGAGGACAGCACATCCGGCTGCGCTCCAGCTTTACAGATCGACAGTGTCATACTGGCCAGGTCCTCCCAGAATCCTTTCTCAGAATTCCCCCAGAACTCCCTAACCCGTCCCAAAATCCTCAATCTGCCCCCACTCCCTCGTACCTGTATCTCTAAGCCAGCCTACCTGGACCCGTCCGCCCGCCGGCGTTCCTGAGGTCCCTAACCCATGACTTCCCCATTCCTCCGTACTCACACCCTGCTACCCAATCCTTTCCTAACTCACCAACCACTCTCCTATCATCCCACTTCAGAACAGCCATCTTCCCCCAGTTGCTACCCTTCTTCAATAGACCCATGGACTTGACATGTGCGGTCAGCATTTTGTTCATTTTCCGTTGGGCTTGGCCATTAAAGGTGTCGACGTCTGCGCTGACGCCGCCAATGAAGCTTGGGGTGGACTAACCCATCAAACTGCGGCCCCCCTTCCAGCAACACGGGCGCCAAACCAGCCAACCTGCAGGCGCGGCGGCCCGCGCAGGCCAGACTTGATCTTCTGCTGTCCGCACCACCACCACCCCGCGGTCGCGATGGACGTCCAGGCCCTGGCTGTCGTGTTTCAGGAGACGCTCCACCATCAAAAGGTGCGCCTGCAATCGCGTCCCTGGGTGCCGCAACTTGCCGGGATCGTCATCGGGATACGGCGCGCTGATCGCGAACCCGGCAGCGCAGGAGATCAGGCGCAAGGCGGAGGCTCAGCTGGAGATTGGGTCGAAGCAGCAGGGATTCGGCGTGGCCGTGTTGAAGGTGCAGTTCTGCGTGGCGGTGCCGGTTGGCATTCGGTGGTTGTCGTCACACGCCTTTGTGCTTTCCTCCCCCGCACACGAGCCATTGAAAGCGTGTCCAAAGCGGGTGGGCCGAAGGCGGTATGTGGACAAGCACGGCGATTTTGTCTCGCCGATTTTGGCGTCTGATGTGCGACCATGCTTGCAGGTGGTGCTCGCCGAGCAAGTGAGTCTGGAGGTTCGCGTCGCGGCGGCCGTGTGCTTTAAAAACCACGTCAAGTACCACTGGGTAAGTGGGAGGCTGGGCGCGCGTGCTGTGCGGCTTGCTGTCCGTCTGTCGACAACGTGGTTATGCGCATTGCCGTTCGCGGTGCAGGAGCAAAAGGAGACGGATGACTGCCCGATGCAGGAGCCAGAAAAGGTGCGTAAACTTTCTCTGATCTGCCCACCGCGCCATGTCTGACGATGCTGATGGAGTTCGAATCTCCGTTCAGAAGGCAGGATCAACGACCCTACCAAGTTTTCTTGTTTGTCTGGATCTTTCGACAGTGGCTTTCCGATTTTGGCACTTAGTTAGTGCCAAAGAACTCAGCGACAGGCACAATGCAAGACAGCTGAAGTTGTGCATTTACAAAGATCCTTGCAACGAAACAATGACAGCTCCTCTGGACCTAATCAATGCCACAGACAACCCCCATGTTGCATTTTAGGGCAGGACCTGCAGTATTTGCTGTTGGGTGCTGATCGGCTGCCGTTTTCTTCCATCCAGGCAGAGTGCAGGAGCCACATTGTGAACCTGATGTTGAGTGCGCCGCCTCTTGTGCGGTCCCAGCTGAGTGAAGCGCTGTCCATAATCAGCGGTGTCGATTTCCCAAATCGCTGGCCCACACTCCTGCCAGAGCTGACGCAGAAGCTTCAAACAAGGGACGTGAACACTTGGCATGGTGTTCTGGCAACGGCAAACTCTGTCTTTAAGCGTTTCAGGGGCGTCTACATGACTGATGCGGTGTCCCAGGACCTTGAACTGTCACAGAAATTTTTCCTGAAGCCTCTCCTTGCGATCATGAAAGACCTGGCGCCACAGGCCAAGCTGTACCAGCAGACACCTGATGCTCTCAAGGTGGTGATGTCTTGCATCAGGCTGTGCTGCAGAATATTCTACTCCCTGAACACATTGGGCCTTACAGAGGTGAGACCATGAAAATGATCCCCTGTGAAATGTTGAAATTCGTTGGCAGTGTTTGTGTGACTTCACGTGAAAATGAGAATACCATCCATTCAGTGAAGGCGATGCAGGGAAAAGTTAATCATGTGCGGTTATGAAATGTCATACATGAGCAGCTGTGGGCTTTTAGAACTTTGTTGTGGGACTTTTGGGTTGTAGACCATAGTTAACATTACCTGCTTGCTTGAAAAGTTGGATAGGTCTTTTTCAGGAAACCAGGCAGCTGCACTCTGTGTATCCTCCTCAACATGGGAGCAAATGCTTTCATGCTGGTGCACATTAGTGGACATGTGTAGCATCCTGTGTGCAAGATTATTGGCAGAAAGATTAGTTGTGTGTATGTGGCTCTGTCAAGCAGAATATTGATCGTTGCAATTGGCATTGTGTGCAGGCGATGGACCAGGACCTGGGGCTGTGGATGGCGGAGTTTTTGCAGTATCTTGACTATGACAATCCTGTGCTCATCGAGCGTGATGACGAAAAGGAGTCTGCACAAGATGGTGTGAAATCTGCAATTTGCCAAAACATCAACCTGTTGACGGAGATCTGTGAGGACGACTTTGATCCTTATCTGATACAGTTTGGAACTGCAGTCTGGAACCTTCTTCTAAAAGTGACGCCAAAGCAAGGGCAGGTAGAGCATGATTGCTGTCTGGCTCACGCATTTGTATTGGGACTGGTTCGTGCCTTCCCTCCCTGATTGCTGTGTTCTATGGCGGTTGATGATTGAAATAAGTAGAGGATGCAATGCCTTGAGCTATGAGCTTGTTCCTAATTTGCTTTGGATGCAGTCTTGCCTGGCTCGATGGAAAAAATAGAATTGTTACAGCTGCCTTCACTTTATTGCACGACGGGTATCTAGTCAAGCAAGTTATTTGGCTCACATGCTGCCTGTGGCCCTGCCATTGCTTGTAGCTTCATTTACCATCACAGTCATCAGTTATGCAACACTTTCTTGTGATTTCAGGATAACCTGGCGATGCATGCCATCGAGTTCCTCACCACTGTGGCAAAGAGCGAACAGTCTGCAGCAAAGCTGTTTCAAGCTGAGAATGTGATCAGCCAGATCTGTGAGCATGTGATCATGCCCAACCTGCGCCTCCGTGACAGCGACGAGGAGCTGTTTGACATGAACCCTGTGGATTACATCCAACGGGACACTGAGGGCAGCGACTCTGGCACCAGACGGCGAGCTGCCTCAGACCTTGTCAGGGCCTTGACAGACAGGTTCCCAAAAGTGGTGACCCAGCTGTTCAGCTCTTATGTGAATGGCCTTCTGCAAGAGCATGCTGCAAATCCAAAGGCCAACTGGAAGGCCAAGGATTGTGCAATATACCTGGTAGTTGCCTTGACAGTGAAGGGAAAGACAGAAGCCCAAGGGGCAACTTCCACGAATGAGCTGGTTCCGCTTCTTGCCTTCTTCCAGGAGCAGATCGTGCCAGAGCTGGAGGCGGCCAGTGGGATCGATGAGCAGCCAATCCTGAAGTCTGACGCCCTGAAGTTTGTCACCACTTTTAGATCGCAGATTCCAAAGGATGCGCTATTGAAGATGCTCCCCAGCCTGATCAACTTGTTGGGCGCGTCAGCCTTTGTCGTGCACTCGTATGCAGCCACTGCGATTGAGCGGCTGCTTGCCCAGAAGGAGGCAGGGAGGACCAGGTTCACTCCGGAGGAACTGGACCCCGTTCTCCAGAACCTCCTTGAGAGGCTGTTTGCAGCCTTTGAGCTCCCAGAGTCATCGGAGAATCAATATGTGATGCGGTGCATCATGAGGGTGATCGTCTTTGAAGGCCCAAAAATCAGTCCTGCTGCTCTGGTCTGCCTAAACCTCATGTCCAAGAAGCTCGTTGCTGTTTGCAGAAACCCCAGGGTCCCTGGCTTCAACCATTACCTGTTTGAGTCGATCGCAGCCCTGATCCGGCACAGCTCTGCTGCTGACATCAACATTCTGGACAAAGTCCAGGAGACCCTGTTCCCACCCTTTGAGTTCGTGCTGCAGCAGGATGTCCAGGAGCTGCATCCGTACATTTTTCAGATATTTGCACAGATCATTGGGCTGCGGAATCCGCCCCTACCACCAGTGTTCATGACAATATTCCCACCATTGCTCGACCATACTTTCTGGGAGCAGAATGGGAACGTACCAGCCTTGGTGAGATTGTTACAGGTGAGTTAATGGAATATTTGCAAGGTGTGAGTCTTGGCTTAATGAAGTCCATGTTGGCTTTGTTTGTTGAATTTGACTGTTCACCACTCTTGCACTGTTCAGGCTGTGTTGGGTGATCTCATTTGTTGCTTTATCAAATGGTGTATCAATGTTGTCGTGGGACCCCTGTTGATTGCGCAATCAATGAATGCACTGCATCCAGGTGTATTCGCCTGGCCAGGTGCCAGCACAAGCTCTACGCATTGGCAAGATGCTCCTTGGAATCGATTTACAGCTTGTGCAACACTGAACACCGATTACACGACTCTTGCTAGTTGCCAATGGTGTGCATTTTGCTTGCATCTCCAGGCGTATTTCACAAAGGCAGCTGCACAGGTGATTGACGGCGGACGTCTAGAGAGCATCTTGGGCGTATTCCAAAAGCTGCTGTCCTCAAAGCAACTTGACCATCATGGGTTCTATATTCTGAACGCGATCTTCGAACATCTTCCAATCAGCCCTCTTGAGAAGTACATCCACACGATCTGGACGATGCTATTTTCAAGGCTGATGAAGTCAAAGACGACCAAGTATGTGAAGTCATTCCTGGTGTTCATGGCACTCTTCATTTGCAAGCATGGGCCTGTCAAGGTCATGGAGACCATTGAGAATGTTCAGCAGGGCCTATACAAGATGATTTTGGAACAGGTGAGTAGGTTTGCTGGTTGGTTCACTGGTGCAAGGCTCTGTTGGAGAAAAGGGGTGAGCCTTAAAGTGCGACAGATTTTCCAGTTTCGCAACACCTTCCAAAACAAACACATGTTTTCTTTGTCTGGATTACAAAGTACCGCAGCATATTCGAGACTTCTCCAGCCCTGGGCACCTCTAAAGACTGGACATGTGCTGCTGCCATCCCATGAAGGCGGAATAGAAGTTGGGGAGGCAGACAGATTGCCCTGCAGCACTGTCACAGTGACTGTACCTCCTAGCGCTGAAGAAATCTAACCATGATCAAATGTGCCGCCTTTGTTGGATTCTCATTCCCATGATCACGAAAATGTCATAATGTTTGCATCAGTTTTCTGTTCTTGAGTTGTTGGTGCCTTTAAAACGTGAAGCCAGTGACTCGATGGGAACAAGATTACGATGGTGATGTGATGGTGAAGCACATTTGTCGTCTCCATGTTGTGGTGCAAGGGTTCTGCACTGTGCAACAAATGCAGTCACAACAATGCCAATGGGCTTCATCCAGAGTCTGGGTTAGTGTCCCTGTCATTGGGCTGACTCTGTTCATTTTGTGATTGCTGATCAACTCAGGTTTGGCTTCCCAGCCTGATGTGGATCCGTGGAGACCAAGAGGAGAAGCTCTGCGCCGTCGCACTGATTCGTTCCATGTGTGAAGTCCCACTGCTCATGGAGGCGGAATATGATGGGCTGTGGGGAAGGTTGCTGGAAGTGCTGGCTGCGTTCCTGGAAGGTGCGCTATGGTTCACAGTGTGTCACTGTATATATTGGTGCCCAAGGCGGCAGCAGTGCAATGAAGGTTTGCATCTTGCAGGGTTAGCAAGTTAGCCCTGTGGTGATACAGCTACTGTGTGGGGCATTACCAGCGCACATGTTGGCTTCGAAGTCGGCCCATGTCGCCAAGTGGCAGCTGCACACGGCCATCCTGCCCGGATGCATTCTTCAGGCACAATTCCATGCGTTAGCTGCACTGTGGAATCCACAGTCTGGATGAAGCATGCATGTTGTGTAGTGATGTTTCCACAGCCGTAGCCTGTGCCACAGCCATGTTGTATTCTTGTGAAGAGTTTTGAGTATGAGGGAAAGGGTTGGAAACTGCCGATGGCATGTGCCCTCATGCCAATGCCAGAAAAGGGCATGGTAGAGGGCATTCAGAAAACACTGTATATCAGTGTTAGGTGACACGACTGTCAGTAGCCCATATCGGCGGCTGCCTAGTCAGACGTTGTGCAGGCGGACATAAGACTTAGTGGAACTTCATGACAGCACTGGTCATTGTTTGGCATACGTGTGGCATGTGCCTATGTCACAAACCAGCACAAGCCTCCAGAGCTGAGTGGGGAAGGACTTTCAGCATATTTCTTTTGTTGGTGTTCAGATCAAATAGAGGCGAAAGGTTAAATAGCATTTTTGACCCACCCCATGCTATTCAATCTCCAATTGTATCCAAAACAGCGAATCTCCAACCCCTGAATGGCCCAACTCTATTGATACGTAGCTCAACTCCATTTACATGTAAACTTTCTTAAGGACTATGCATGGGGCCGGTGTATGCCCTTCTGCCATACAGCAGAGCGTGCTTCGGGATACACTGATGGCCGGAGACTCTCCATGCCTCCAATCCATGCTTGCCGTCGGGGTGCTGAGATGCGAGCATGCTTTGTGGTGGGAAGCAGGGAAGGGAACGAATGGGCACACAGAAGTTGCCGATCCCCTGGAGGAGGAGCCGCAGGGCTACTCGGCTGCGTTCTCACAGCTGGCGAATGTTACTCTGCCTGACACTGACCCATGCGCCGAGGTCAAGGATGCGAAACAATTTTTGGCGCAGTCGCTGTCGCAGCTGAACAGGACGGCCCCAGGGCGGATATCCAGGGCAATGCAGGCCTCGATGAAGCCCGAGGTGCAAGAGCGGTTAAAAGCGTACTTTGGCGCTATGGGTGTGGCTATCTCCTGAGTGGCAGTGTGTGGCTCACCGAGGTGCACCCGAATTGCAGCAGGTGGACAGTGGATCCTTGTAATTAGGAAGGCCGAAGGACGCAAACATGGGACACTGTGGGGTGAAGCGGCAATCTGCTCTGCTGGGGCCGTGCATCGTGTTCACCACGGCCATGGCAAAGGCTCTGCTGCTACATTTTATTGCATTTTGTTTGATTAGAAAATTTGTCAGAGTGTAAGGTGGCTTGCGTGCGAGAGGTGCTGTGGGCCGTGCGAGGACCTCCTCGATACGGAAATTGGGGGGGCCACCGCGGCCTGCCATCTGCAACAGGAGGTCTCAATGCTGCTGGGCGAGCCGTGTGAGCACGACACCATCGTCCTGGCGTCGCTCCTAACCCCATTCAGCATCGATGAAGGTCTATTGACCTCCTAGGCAGGGAACTACCAGGCTGCGCGGACCCTTTACCGTCAGCGGTGCTCTTGTCTAGCTGTGCGATGTTGTTGGGCAAACGACGTTCTGTACAGGTTCTGCAAAGAACCTTTGCAGTGCAAAGAGGGTTGATTTGCAGAACCAAAAGTTCTGAAATGAAGGTGGCCAACTGTTATGATGCCCAAGATGCGCCTCACGACCTGCTACACATTTCTGACTTGCATCGTGTGTTGGAAGCGAAGGAAGCCCCTCGATACTTACAGTTGCGGCTGTTCTAATGCATGGCTTTGGGGATGTGCAGTTCCACCGAGCAACCATAAATCTTATTTCACACTGCCTGGAGCTTTAACTCTGCTTGGATCTCCTGCTCTTTTGCAGCTGACGGCTCCCTTTGCCCTGTGCGACCTGTGTGTGCGTGGCAAACAGCGACGGGCCTGGGGGTGTCCGTTGTAATCAAACTGCTGAGGTGTTTAGGCGAATATCCTGGTACACCAAAACTATGTATGCATTGGTCATACCGTGTGTGGAACAATCAGTCCAGGTGGCCGGAACTCCGCAGCAGTGTTTCGAAGAGTCTGCACAGTCTGGATCTTTGACATGCCATGGTCTTGTCACACATTGCATCGAAATCGCCTGGCAACTTGCCATTTGCTGCGTTGGATGGACTCTTTGGCACATTGAATTAATGCCGTAGTGCTGAGCCTCCGGAACTTGAAAATTTGGCGTCAGGGGTTTATGGCTGAACATGTCGCCCAATGAACGTCCTCAATGAGCAACAAGCGTCCTTCTCATCGCTCAGCATCGCGTCTGGAGTGGCCGAAGGAGGACGGGCACAGGCTGGGCGGCACTGGGGACCAGCACAAAGGCGTCTCTGTCGCTCGTGTCTGAGTTCACGTTGAAATACCAGTACTGAACGGGAGCGACAAGCCACAGCCACTTGGCAGTGCAGTTCAAAGGAGAGGCAGCGCGACTGTTGCATAGTCTGTGTCCACTCCACTGCGGCACAGACGCACTGGCCTTTGGGAGGGATGCGAGGCGTCCCCCTTGACCGCCATGCGACGCTGGCACTGCATGGGAGCGCACAAGCATGGGCGCTGGTGGCCGCAATCTAAAGGGGAGGCAATGCAATCGTTGCACGATCCCGGATCGCCGATCCGCGATGTGCGTCCGCTCTGTTGGGGCATGGATGCACTGGCCTGCACAAGCGTGGACTGAATGGTCCATGGGTGCTAACGGGGTAGCCGTTACAGCGGAACGCCTGACATGTTACATCGCATATTTTCTTAGCCACCCTTAGGTCGGCATTTCTCAGACAGGACGTAGTTTCGTTGTTTCTGCGCCTCAGCAGCCATGACACTTATTCAAGATTCCATACAGCATGCTCAGTTCTACCACGATGGGAGCCTTTATGGGTGCCAGAAATCGAGACAACATCGCCACAGGTAATGTGCATCATGTTGTCGTTTCCAGTTTGGCTGACCATCTGCTATTTCTGCACTTTCAAACAGCCCTGGAGAATACTCCCAAGAAGCTCAAAGGGAGCTAACTACAATACAAAGCATGAATAGTCCAGACTGGACTTGCGCAATGCACTATTGCTGTTCTCATAAGCTGTCTGCTTGCAACCTCGCTCCTATTGATGGTGGGTGCCGTTGTGCTGCAAAGCCGAAACCCCAACACAATTTTTTTCAGATGCAAGACACAATTTCACAGTATCAATACTTGCATACAGAAGTAGACACAGCAACCCTTACAATGGTAGAGCATGCCCTCAATGGCATGCAAAGTCCTTAATGACTTGCCACACTCTTCAAGTTGTGTAGCAAGCAAAATGGCCCAATGCCACAAGTTGTTTGGCACAACAGCCACACCACCATCTTCACACCCGCCAGACGGTCCTGCTGCAGGTCCAACTGCCTATTCATCGTCTTGTGTTCGCAAACGCGCCTTGGAGTTGGTGACAAGAATGCCAAGCTGCACAAGCACAACATTTTGGCTCAGAATCTGTTGAGACGAGCTGAACTGGAGCAGAAACCGAGCTTGATCTCACCAATCGCCACAATAGACCTACGTTGCACATGCTGCAGTGACAAACAACAAGGGCAGTAATTTGCATGTACCGCACATCTGATCTGCAATACAATCCCTTCACAATTCCCAAATTTATGGAACAGAATGGCAGCAGAAACAGTGCAGTCATGGGTGATTCCCTCACCTGGAAGGCACGATCAACAATGTCCTTCCTCTTCTTGGCAGACACCTGAGAAGCAATCTCAGCACAAAATTTCCTGGATGCAGGCAGCACGACCTTGTCAAAGATCACATACTCTGGACCAACGCCTGCTGTATGTAATTGGGTTTCCTGAACAGGGTGTCCAGTCCTTGGGAGCAGTCCACAGCAAAAACACACAGTACTACTGCCAGAAAGGTCCCCACAAACCCCTAAATCCCCTCAACAGGGCACAACTACAGTAATTCGCAGGATGAATTCAGTTTTCAGGGAGAAATACCCAACCATGCCGCCAATACTGCTTGGGGTACAGCAACATCTGCCATCAGCAAGTGGCATGGTCTTAATCTAGACAAGACCTCCATTGGGCCACGTCAAAGTCAAGCCACAGCTCTGGCTCCCCCGGCGCCTTGGCCTCTGGGCCTTCATGCCATTGAGAGTGTCTGGGCCCACAGGTTTGCATGCAGCAACCAAACCCACAACCGGCCATGCTTCCAACAAGGTACCGTTAAGCCACGCTTCAGCGCCAGGCGTTCGCGGCGACCCACCGGCCAGTGAACAGTACCTGTTGTGCATCAAGAGGACCTCCAGATCCTTCACGTTGGCGACGCGGAACTTGTAGAAACCTGCAAGCAAACCCCACGCGTCCGCGTCACGAGCGACGACAGTGAAGCACGGGAGACATGCCAATGGGAGGGGGCGACCTTCGTTGCGCCCACCGTTTCTCAGCACGTGACGGGTCTTCTTCGAGGAGCCGAAACCAATGCACGGCATGGTTATCGTGCCCCGGAACTTGCGCCGCACGCGTGAGTCGATACCCTTCGGCCGGCGCCAGCTTGGCTGAGAAAACAAGACCAGGAAATTCCCAAACGTCAGGTGATGACGCAGAACACGCAAGCAGAACGCCGCCGCCGCTGTTGCAGATCCATGCAGGGCGGTCGCACCAGCATCGAAAAGCGGCGCTGTTCGAAGCCACCGCCGGGCGCCTCGCGCTGAAAGTTGCCGTCCACAAAGAAGATGCTGAAGGAACGCGTGAGTGCCCGCCCACCTTCACGGCTATTTTCCTGTCGGACTGGTGCCGATCGAAGTGTTTCTTGTGCTTCTTCACTATCCTGGGCTTCGACAGTGGCTTGGGCTTACCCATCTTGCCTCGAGCTCCCCCGTGCACGGGTGCGCCGCCAAGCCCTGTGGTTGTTTCCCCAGGCACCGCCGCCGCATCTGTTTACAATGACCGTTTGATTGTTTAATAATGTGAATGGGCCCCTGACTGCCTGTTTGGGCCGTCGGACCCGCCCGCAATCCAATGCCGCGACGCAAGGTACTGGCAATCGCAAATCACTAAGCAAAGAATAAAGAACGGATGGAGTGCACTGGGAACATCGTTTGCAGGGCGTTTCCAGACCAGTTCAGAACCTGGTTCGCACAAATGCAATGAGCAGTGCTGCAGCATTCGGTGCGAGGAGCGATTTGGCTTCGAATTGGATCAGGCGTACCAAATTCTTTCGCTCCGTTTTGCTTGGGGAAAATGCGCGAAGTTTTGGAAGAAATAGAGGTGCTTGTCATTTCGCCAGAAAGACATGTGCGAGCATGCACAATGCCCACGAGTGTGGCAGCGTGATTTCAGCCCAAACGTAACAGAAACGTGTAAACGGAGGAACTGCGATTGCAATGGAGGACACGATGGACAAACGCCATCTTTGCTGTGGATCCATCAAGGGAACACAGAAGGAATACGAGACACAGCCACGAAACAGGTGTGGGCATCAAGACCCAGATATTCATATCTGGGCGTGTCGCTAACATGCTGGTCCACGTAAGTAATCCATCATACTCGCCGCCGTTACCATGCCCGTTCAGCGCACCGCATTCCCATGGAGCAAATAAAATCTGCATCCAGCGATCATTTCCACCAATGGTCCAAATCCGATCCACACGCTGACAACATAACGCAAAAACTATTTGACTATGTCGCTCCTGCCACCCTCCTAAGCATACGGCCAACGTCGCTTTACCAGCTGAGTGCACAACTTCACAAAACTAAGTGCCCAACAAGCTCATGTCATCCTGCTTGTCCCAGCACATCTGTCAACAGATCACCCTACTAGAATAGCTACGCTCTTGAACTACGAAAATTCAGTGTTGATTCACTCCCAGCCGACAGGCAACCAGCTCCATGACATGGTATGAGTACTTCACGTGCCTTCCACAGACTAGACCACCTGATCGGTGTGCAGATGCTCAGCAGCGCTCATGAGCGCCCACAGCCGAGCGACAATGCAGCAATGGATGGGGAGATGGGCATGCAGCCCAGCCCAGCCCCCAGACCCCAAACCTATCCCTAAACCAGATGCTGGGCGAAAGAGCGAAAGGCTGAAATGCACACTTGTCAGTACACTTAGGGCATTGAGCTCTGCAACCAGTACTCCACAAGCGCAGTCCTTCTCTTCCTCAGACTGCTGGGCTGCTACCTTTGCTACTCCCAATGCGTCATGCGATGCTGATGGCCTCCTGATGTACACATTGGCTGCACTATCCCCTGGGGACGTCTCAGCAGCTCTTCCTGTTGTTGACTCCATGCCGGCCTCCTGTTGTGCTCTGCACAGCTCCTCACTTCCAGAGCCAGGGGTGCGCCCACTGTGTTCCCAATTCCCATCGTCAACAGGACGGCTAGCTGCACAGCTGGCATGGGCATGCCCCTGGTGGTACAGAGGTACTTGAGAAGGGCCTTCCCCGCCACATCCAGCATCCCAGCAACCCATCTTTGCACCAGATCGCTCATCAGGAGGTGAGACTACAGGAGGCGGTGGGCACTGCAGCAGATTTGGAGAAGGTGCTGGCAATGGCTGCAAGTGTGGGGCTGCAGGCACGCCAGTTGCAGGAGGGCCTGCACTGGTTGCCTGCATTGGCCACTGATGAGAATGGACTGTCGGAGTGTGCACCAGGGAACTCGTTGCTGCATCCAGACCTGCACACTCTCTGCTTGGTTCAAGATCAGGAGGGAACAGGGACACATCATCAACAAAGGGATCCAGCACCTGGGAGCGAGACTGGGCACTGCTTTGGCCCCACCCACTGTGCCTCTGCACCTGGCCAGAAGGGCTTGCAACAGCTGGGCCAGCTGGCCTGGGCCCTATCTGTTTGGCGTCGGTAAGAACAGAACCGTCCAGCGGTGAACCCTGGGCTGCATCCCTGTATTCCTGTACACCAGAGGGATGCGTGGCACAACTGCCCTTGTGGCTCGGATCCTGGTTTCCAGGGGTCGCATCGAACTCCTGCTGCTCCACAGAATTCATGAATGAACAGCTCTCCCGCCTCTCTGCTCTTGGGCCATGGAGGCCATCGGAATGGGCCTGGTTGAACACGCACAGCACAGAAACATGCCATGCCCGCACAGTGTCAAGCTCGCCTGGCAGCAGGGCTCCATCGGGCCGTCTGTGCGGAAACCTAACAACGGTGGCGCCTCCACGATTGGGAACAGGGGCTTGAACTGTGCCAAGCCCACAGCCGCTCGTCAGGTCCTTTTCATCCCTTTTCCCGTTGCCATCGCTTCGTTTGCCATCAGTTGCTGCAGAAACTGCCAGCTGATCAGACAAACAGCCCTTCAGCTGTTGCTGACACTGTATGCCATCGTCTAGATTGGAGGACGTTGGGATGGGCAGAACTGTGCTGTTCCAGCCTCGTTGAGCTGCTGGTCGAATGACATGGGTACCCTCGCACGTATGGCCAGCCACATCCAATCTAAGCAAGGGATCAGACAACAGAACAGACACCACCACCTTTCGGAAAACCCACTGTTGGCTGCAGCCTGATGAGCACTGCTTCCACATGGACCGCCACACAGAAGCCTCCCTTTCCAGTGGAAACCCCAGCCTGGTCACATACAGATTTCTCAACGAAACTCTGTGCCCAGACATTTCCAGTGCCCCCTTGGCCACAGCCGTTGAACTCTGAAGGATGCGCAGCAACGCCCTTTCTAAGCCCTGCAGTCCAAAGCCTTGGGGGCTGCGCCGATACCAATACACCTTCACAACATCTGTGTGCAGTAGCTCCCCTCTAGCATCTGTCCAAGAAGACACAAGCCATTTCGACTTTCTCTTTCCAGATCTGCTGTTAATGAGGGCGTAGCAGCAATGCAGGGAGAGCTCTTGGGCCTTCTTCTCTGCAGTCTCGCTGCCCCCTGGGTCACATATCAGTGGGGCTTCAGAAGCCAACACCCCAGCAGGGCTGGCAGCCACAGATGGAGGCGATTCCATTCCTGCAAATGGTCTGGCTTCGGCTTCAGCTCCAGGCGAAGGTTGGGGAACACAGGAACTGCAAGGCTGGGACAGCACCAGCAAGGGATTGGAGGGCCGCACTTGCCCAGACGGGTCACCTGATGAATTCAGCATTCTATCCCCTTCATTGTCTATGCCAACAGATACTGCGGTGCTTGCATCTGCAGATTGTCTCTGGTACTCATGCACCTGCACAGCAACAAATGCATTATCAACTTTGGCCACCCACATATCAACTGTCACGATGCCATCCTGCCAACTGAACAAGTCATCACGCAATCCAAGTCGAACTAAAAAGCGCACTACGTGCGATAGTCGCCCTTCTTGCTAGGCTTCCCACATGCAGTTCACCTCACCTTGTTGTAAACAGAAAAGGCTGTTGCCTTGGCAGCACCTCCTGTAACTTCCTCAAGGGCAGAAAGAGACACTAACTGCAGGACCAGATTGTGCCCTCTACTTTTGACCTCCATCAAGGTCTTCCTCTGTGCGCCATTGCCTTCATGTGTGTTGTAAGCCGCCCTTGTCGCCCCACCATATCGTCCACTGGACATGTTGGAAACCTGGGATGAGCACACTGCCGGCTGGCCCATTTCCTTGCCGCCAACTCCACTTTCCTTTGAGAACGCTCCAGACCCTTGCGTTTCGATGTGGCACCCCGAATCTCCATCAGGGATGCTCATGGCGCCCGGCGTCCTGGCTTCTGACAAGGTAGGCTGGACAGGTGGACGGTTGCTCCTGGTGCAAGGCGCCAAAGCTGAGGCAGCCTCAAGCAGCACCTGCATGCAAGCTTCTGGGTTGTCGAATGGGCACATGACATACACAACTATGGAAGCGTTGAAATGATCGACAAGGCCACCACCAGTGTACCTGCAGAACAAACAGCCCATGTTAAGACCCTTTACAGCATTTGTCAACAAAATGACAAAACGTTGCCCTTGCATTTGCACAGCTGCATAAACATAATATCAATATTGACATTCTCATGAATGACTGAGGTATCACTGCATCCATTGCAAACCACAAACCTCCATTCATTTCCTGAAACAACACACCATTCAAGAGCTGGAAGCCTCCAGGAACATCCATTGCCCAACACGAAACTAAGACGTTGTGGATCCAACAATCACAGCGATGACAACAGGTGATTTACAAGCATGTGAATTCAGGGATCAGAGATGACTGTCCAGTCACCACATTTCTGGAACAACACAAAGGACCATCTGGTGCACAGGATTCGTGCGCCTTGAAATCGCTTACCTCAAATCTGGAGGGTCAAGGATCAGAAGCTTCTGCAGCCGAGCACAGGAGTCTTTCAGCCCTCTCCTGAAGTCCGCAGTTAGAGGACCAGGATGTTGGCCCGCACCATCAGGGCCTTCTCGAACACATGACCCATCCGCATGCCCCAGTTTGATGCCAGATCCATCAAATTTACCATGTCTATATTCTGCATCCCTGAGCTTCCTGCCAGCCTGACCCAATCCATCGTTTTTGGAGCCTAATGGGATGAAGCCTGCAAACCTGGGATTTATCATCCTGCTGTCTTGTGTTCTGTTGTGGGCATTTGCATCCTGTCCACCATGCTGTCCAACACCGCTTCTGTCCTGCAGCTGCTGGCATTTCAAAGCCTGGGCAGCATTTGCCTCCCTTGCAGTGGCAGATCGTATGGGCTCATATGATATTATTTCACTTGAAAGCGAGGCTGGTGATGGTGGTGCAGGACGATGGCTGCCAAGGTTGGAGGCTTCATACACTGCACTCACGTCCTGCAAGAAGAGTCAAGCATTGAACTCAGCAAGATGCATAAATCCCTACAGAATTCAATCCATTCTGGCACAAAAACGAGGAGCAAATTCACAAAGCAGGCATCGCCAGCAAGAAGCCACAGTACCACGGCACTGTACGACTGCCACAGAAGTACTGCTGGCCACAGCCACACCTTCAGGAAGACCTTGAGCTGCCCAGACATGCTGTCTGGGCATATGGCGTAATAGACGACGGGCTTGGGTGAGGAGTAGGGCTCAAAAGAAGCCTGCATGTGGCATCAGTGACACTTAGCAAGCTGGCGAACAAGCACACGATCCATAACACGCAACATCAAGAGGACACTCACAAGATGCTGAAGGTGGCACAAGCACCAAAGCATGAAAACCAGCAATCCCCAACAAGTGACATCCAAACAACACACCAAACATACCGCAAACACAGTTACACGTGAAAGGAGGAACAATTCCACAATCCCAATCCAACTGTGTGACAGTAAGAGAACTGACATGAGCAGAAGGCTGCACCTTATCCCATAGTCTTGCCATGCTGGGGGACGTTTCCAACCAATCGCCCTGGGAGAAAACACAGCAAACTGTTTAGAATACTGAACAAACGCACTACTCCGTGTTGCTAACCAAAGAACTAGCATCCATGTGATCTCTGCTGTGAATGGTACTACTGAACTGCAACTCCAAAGCAACAGACGCACTGGCACTGCAGGAATTTGCATGCTTGACAAAGATCCATCCATGGCAGGAGAGAGAACATCCACCCAAGCCAGGACTGGCTGCACGCAAAACCCACAACACTGTACAAGTGCGATCTGTCCCAAAACATGAAAAATCCTCATCCTCCCCACCTGGTACCCAAGCAGCACAGATGGCTCCGACAAATGCACAGACAGCGGGCGCTGTGCTGGTCCCACTCTTGATTTAGAGCCTGTATGCAAAGGAAAGAATTCAAGTCAAGAATCAGTGTAGCGTCATGCAGCAGAAACCTCGCAAGAACATAGATGGTCCTCAATGCTTCCAGCATGTTCTCCACACCTCGCGAGAGCAAAGCCCAATCAAGGGGCGAGTGAACAAATGAACAAGCAAGCCAAGCATAATTGTCATTCACCAAGTAAGAATAGCAAACGTTCTGCACACTTCGCAATCAAGAACAAGCAGACTCTCTGTGTCCAGGCCCAGCAGAGGTTGACTGCCTGGCCTGGACCCAGAAGTCTCCATCTGAAGCTGCCCAGTGGCTTGCAAGTGAAGCAGCTGTTGCACCACAGCCGCCTTTGGACAACCACAGAAGGGCACCCAAAGGCACACGTCAAATGCCCCACTCCCAACGCAAGTGCTGCCAGGGGCGAAGGTTTCCAGTCAACCCTTCTGCACAATTAGCTTCACACCTGTGCGCCATGCATCCTTTCCGCCCTGAGACTCCGATTCCGAACACATCTCCACGTAGGCAAGCGCCGAATGCTTCGCCTGTGGGTTCGAGCACTGGCGCAGGAGTGGAGATTCGGGGCCCTTCGCCCGCCCAACCGACGCATCCACAAAAGGGCACCCCATCTGCTCCTCAGCAAACTCAATGGCCCGGTCGAGGCTCAGGTCCACGACGGCGTTGGCCTGCTGGATCACCAAGTCCAGCACCGCGGCGTCGCCCCAGCTGCAGGCCAGGGGGGCGTAGGGCTGCCACCTGGCCCTGATGTCCTCCTGGCACGCCCCCGGCAGGCCCGCCTCGAGGCCAAACGCGCCATCCCCGCAGCCCGAGGGGCGCTCCCCCACGCCGGTTCTGGCCTTCTTGACCCTCGGCTCCAACCGCCGCGTCGGCTTCCTTTTGGACCCCCCCCGCTGCCCACCTCCCTCTAGAGCCCCCCGCGCGACGTACTCGGCGCATGGCCGCTCCACGCGCAGGTGCGATGCCGAAAATTCCGGCGCGACCAGCCCGGGCTTCCGATCATCCATTCCCATTCCTGCCGCCGGGCCGCCCGCACCCCATCACCGTCCCAGCACCACCCGCCCCCTCGCCACCCGCGCGGCAACCAACCAAACCCACGGCGATGATGCGGCTTCAATCGCCGGCCAGCCCTCCTCCGCCGTTCGCCTCAATCCGCCCGTCTCCACCACGCTGGTCCGTCGTCCAGGCGCGCGCAGGCGGGCCGGGCAGCCCCGCTGACGCCTAGAACCCCACAGCGAAGATGCACCTTCGATCCCCGGCCGGCCCTTCTCCGCTGCCGGCCACCCCTTCTCAGCGCTGACTTCACTCCTTGCCGCCTCCGCTGCGTTGGTCCGTTGTGCAGGCCGGGCAGTCGTTGCTCAGGAAGTGAGCAAGGGGTGCCAGGCAGCCGTACCGGATGGCCGCTGCGGGGGGGGCCCGTGGCCGAGGGATAGGTCACTCGGCGCTCGGCGGGTGGGGCCCGGGGCAAATGTACTGGATCCCGCCGGCCGGTCGGTGACGTGATTGATCGCCGAGTAACACGGTGCGAGCAGTGACCGCACAAGGCGCAAAGTACGGTGTTGGGGGGGCTGCCTGGACGCTGCTGGAAACTGGGTCCCACTAATACAGCGGCAGTACCAGCCGCGGCGCAGGTGGGGCTCCAGTATGCTGTGTGCGTGTGTGACAGGGTGCGCGACGCCTGAGCCACCACCGTGACCCCCCGGACTATGAGCGGGGGCTCTCGTCCGTGGCCGTTGGTGTGGCAAATTTTTAAGTACCCCCGATGTTTCGTGTGGATCATGCTTGTGGCTATGCGAGACAAGCTTGGATACATAAACATGGATTCTGAAGCTGGGGGAAGAGGGAAGCTTGCTGTTGGTGACGTGCCCAGCTGACCATTTCAGGAAGATGCCTTGTGCCCACAGGCAAAGGATGGGCTATGTTTGGACAGCAAATGATGCCAAGCTTGAAAAACCGTACAGCTGGGTGCATATATGCCCAGAAACCCGTCCACTGTGACAAGGCTGGCGACCTTTCACACCAACAGCACAGCTACAACTGGCAAAAGGAAAAGGCCACCCATGCCAACTGTCTGTGAATTGGCTATTGGACAGGAAAGGAGCGCTCCATGCACAGTGGCATAAGCGGAAGCACTGAATATGGCACATTTGCGTAGAAAGAAAATTCCCACACTTGCACACTACCAATTTCACAATCTATCCTTGCCCTTTTGTTATATTTTCTCTCAAGGAACCGTGCCTCTTACACACTCTGTGGCAGCAACCCCACTTCCAGCAACAAGCGTGCTGCCATCGTGCAATCATAATGGACAGACATGGCTGCGGGGCATGTGGAGACAATTAGCTTGCAAATCTACCAAAAAAATTTACCGAAACACAAGCATGGAGAGTGTCTATTCATCTGCAGGCTGTTCTTTGAGTTCCCTTCTCCCAGCAGCCCCACTGTCCACTTCATGGCTGCCAAGCATCGGGTCTGAGCCCGCCAGCAGTGCAGCCTCCTGACCTGGGTTCGAATCACCCTCCACATCTGGTGCGGACATTGATGTGGTGGGATTGGTGCCAGTGGTGCCTTGATTGCTTGAGGAATCCACTGGCACTGTTGGAACCTGTTCCACTCCTTGTGCAGGGTTTGACGGCTGTCTTGATGTACTCACTGTGGCTTGTGCTTGGGGGACCATCGCTGGCATATCGTTTGCAACAGCTCTTGGAGCCCCAACAACCCCATTGCCACGCCTAGCCATGCCTGTGTTCCGAGCCTGCCAGCACAACAAGGTGTCTGAGGGGGCATCACCTCATGGATTGCATTCGCCTCCTTGGGCTCTCTTACATTGGAAGGAACACAGGGGACACAGGTGCGGGGGGCATGCGGGGCACAACAATTCAGAATACAGGGTAGCCCAGAACAGATTCAATCGCAGATCCAATGCAAATATCAAATATTTGTTCAACAACATGGGCGGCTTCTCAACTAGGGCATACACCTCACAATTCTCACAGCTCCTTTGCTTGCAGTTCAGTAGTTTCCTTGTGACTCCTGGAGCAGTTCCCGAATCAATGCTACTATTGTGTGTGCACCGCAAGAGGATGTCATGCACTTCTTTGCTTACATATTTCCTATGGTTTCAGGTGAACAATTTCAGACCATTGTGAAGGGTTGAGAAATCAGGCTGCAGGCACGTCAGTGATTTATTAGCACGGTAAGGAGACGTGCTGCGATCTGTTAATCATCTCCAGGTTATCCTATGAGCAACAACAACCCACTTCCAGTTGTTAAGTCTGGCAAGCATCTGTCTAGCACTCACCTGTGCATTCCCTCTTGTCTGGTGTCTGCGTCGGAACACCACCATGAACACCACAACAAGCACACCCAGCACAAGGGTCTCCATAAATTCTCCCACTTCGTCCTTGTCATAAATGCCAAACACGTATTGGAAGAAATCGCCCACAGCATCGATATCCATGGCGTTCATGATCCCATCCATGACACCACTGCTACCAACTGGTTCTGAATGGTGGCCTGACCACCAGGGCGTCGGGACGGAGGCTGCATTACCATGCCCAAGCCTAAAGAGGCGATCCACGATTGAGCGAAAGATCACTGGGATGTACGGCCGCACTTGGTTCCACCACGAGTGCACATTCAAGAATAGGACAGCCAGGCTTGTCGCATAATACCCATCTGGTTCGTAGTCATAAGCATGGTCATAGAACCTAACACAGGAACACAAGATGATATACTTCTCAGTGAGTCATGCCATAAGGGTCGGCAGCCCCAGTGCACAACGGGAACAGAAAGCATTGAACCAAACTGCAGTTGACGTCTTGCTACAGGGCACAGTCACTCTGAAATCAACAGCCAACGCATTCTGGTACTTGTGCAATGTTCTTGGCACAAGCTGCTCTTGTTGCAACCGAATATTGGCTGGCTTGGTCACCCACCCTCCTGGAACGCAACAATCTATCAAGACGTTGCAGCACAATTCTATTGTGCTTTGTAACCAGGTTCGCTCTGGGGCCCAACAAGAACATCCTTCCACTTCTCCTCAGCACTCTTGCACATCCCCGCAACTGTGCCAGGAAAGTATCCTCAACACAGCACTGTGTACGCTGTCTGTAAGCACCAGCGTTGCCTGCTCATACCCACCGCTTTGCAAGGTGCAAGTCCTGTGGGAGTCCAGCCCCATACTGGTGCATGTAGCCCAAATTGAAAGCCGCCCTGGCATTCCGCTTCTCAAAGGCCTGCCTATACACAGCCGCAGCTTGCCTCCAATCCTTTTCCACACCCCTCCCATAATAATAAATGTCACCAATGGACAAGAGAGCTTCTTTGTTGTCCTGCTCCGCTGAGCTCTTGTACAGCTCCAGGGCCAACAGAATGTTCTCCCTCTGGGAACCCGGACCCAAACCGTGCTCCAACATCCAGGCTGCATTTGACTGCCCAAGTTCCAAGCCCATCTGGGCGGCACGCAAGTATGACAGGAGTGCTAAAGATGTGTCGCGCTTGGCAAATGCATCGTGCCCTTGTTGCAACACTTGGCACCATTCACCTCTCTCTGCCACCTGTGCACGTAGCACCACACATCAAGCCAGCGATATCTTCACGGGATGCCCTGAAAGAGATGGAGTGAGCAGGGAACACCACCACCAAAGATTCTTCAATGCAAAATAAATATGTTAAGCGATGGGCCCCTGCCACCCAAGTAAAACAATTGCCAGAATCATTCCCTGGTGTAGCATGTGCTGCAGAAGTCTGCAATTGCAACATACAACAGCAGCAAAGATGACTAGAGAAGATGTGTTCACTACACTGGAATTGTATGAACCATGCAAATGGGCAACATGCCTCTATCCTCTTGTTGCAGCAGAAGCAACAAGGCCCAAACAAGCCAACAACACAGTCAACTCACATAAAACTTCAATCCAGAACCTTACAATATGCGTCTAAGCTTTGAAATTGCCCATTATACATTTAGTTATCAGCTGCCTGGTCCACAGTGTGCATTTGCACTGCATCGATTGTTACTCCATGGCAAATTGGTGCTTTTGCAACCTCACATCCTGCGAGTTCCAGTCCATCCCAGGCCTAGTATGGCAACACTCCAGATGTCTAGCGATCTGCACAACTGAAGCATCAGAGGTTCATCTGCAGGGGACAAGCAGGGGCTAGGCTGATAACCAACAGCCTCGTAGGCCTACAGAAGCACACGACTACGGACCCCATGAGAGGAAGAGCAGCATTGCAGTCCTGAATCTGCACAATGTTCCATGCAACTTGCAACACACTTGCAGCGTTGATTTTTCATCTATGAGTTGTGTTCCTCCATTGCTGCTGTTGAAGTGAGCTTCACCTGCTTCAGCAGCCGCAGCGCAGGCTGGCAATTGGGCTGATCACTGCCGATCCCTGAGAGATACATCATGGCCAAATTGTACATTGCAAACAAGTGGCCGCTCTGTGCGGCGGCCTGGAACAGCTGTAGTGCCTGATGGGGGCTTGTTGGAGACTGGGGCACCCACCCATGCAGGTGCATCATCCCATAATGATATTGAGCCTCCGGGTGATTCATCTCTGCAGCCTGGGTGCACAACAGAATTCTTCACTGTTTGCAATTGCCAGAACATAATGAAGCACTGTCATTTTAGCTCACAGGAATTGCCAGGTGCCCAATGACCACCAGTCACCATATCAGGTAGCAACAGTGCACTCAAAACGATGTTGGAGATGTTTGACGACTGGGCAGAGTCACCACAGCAGCAGTTCATCCAGCTGAGCCAAAGTTCTGGCTGGCAGAGCTCTTTGCACCTTTTGAAAATGCTGAGCCGCAACCTTCAAATCTTTCTCCACGCCATAGCCTGACAGGTACATGTAGCCAAGGCCATAGTGCCCATTTGGGTGATTTTTTGCTGTGGCCGACTTGAACCACTCTAATGCCGTGTCGTTGTTCCTCTCCACTCCAACTCCATTTGCATACATGTGGCCCAAGTGGCTCATTGCACCAGCATCGCCAGCATCTGCTGCTTGCCTGTTGTTTTACATTGATACGCACAATCTGAGTCAAGTTCCGCACACCCGCAATACACAAAAAAATTTGCCGAGCACTTTCACATGTCTGCTATTTGCACACCATGTAACACACAGCGTGTAACACCATGTCACCAAGCGTGCTGGCAGTGTTCCAAGTGTTTCACATAGCATGCAGCACCATAGAACATACCCAAACTTCACCACGTCTCCAACAAAATTTTGTGGTGCAAGGAGCTCATCAAACTCAGACAATGGGAAGCACGACTCCACTTAGCATAAGCTGTGCAGGTAGATGACAAGTTCCAAAGCACTCAGCACTGCTAGTAATTCCCAAAATCTTGATGTTCACTGATTTTGAAGACAGTGGGTAACACTTTAACCTTTGTCACAAACTACAGCTGGTTTCCAACAATCTTTGGCCACCATTTCCAAGCCAGTAGCTTGCAAAAATTGCACAAATCAGTGACATGCCCTTGTCAAAAGCACAAGCATGCTATGGTACCAAATGGACTTGCAACCATGATAGATGCATCGATATGGTAAGTGCGTCGGTGCTTAACCCCAGGTGATCTGACAAACCTGAAGTAATGCAACGCCTGCTGATAGTCCCTCTCAAGGCCATGAGTCCCATACAGAAACAGTTCACCTACTGCTGCCTGAGCATCAACATCCCCCATGTCTGCAATGCTCTGGTAGAACTGCAACCACTGCTGCTCTCTCGCACTCCTGAGCCCCTGTAGGCTCCTCACACTAAGCCTAACTTTCTCAATGTGTGGCAAGGCCCCAGGAACCCTGCCAAGTTCAAGCACACGCTCAGCTGCTGCATTGTAGTAAGACACAGCAGTAGGACAGCTTTGAGGGGCGCCATGGCCTGTCATGTGGCGGTAGCCCAGAGCCATATGAGATACTGCATCGTTCCCAAATGCACCAAAGGTGTAGTGCAGCAGTGCCTGAGGCAAGTCAGACTGCCACAGAAACACAACAATCAGTGAAACAATGAAGTGCACACTCTCAACTGGCTACATTCAATAGCAGTGAAGTCCTTGCGCTGTGTGCAGCAAACGCGGCTCCAGACTCACATGTCAAAATCATGGATAGCAAACAATAATTGGGACAGGCCAAGCTGATCTGGGCAGGCAACAAGTACAAAAGGTTTCATCTTGCACACCCCTGAAGGCTTGATGCATCTGATCACAGTGCATCACCATCACCGATGGCGATCAACAACACACAGCAGTCCACAGCGTGGCCCAAGGGGAAATATGACAACAAAAAGATTGTGAACCTGAAGATTCTCTAATGCCAAAATGAGGAACCCTGTCATACAGTTGGTGTCTCCTCATGTGTGCAACAATTCTTGTGAGCCTTTTCTCCAAATTGCAAAAGTTTCCAACCACAACATAGATAGCAACGAGCACAGGCTATCACGTATTACAATACAGATGCTATATCACAATAAAATACTTTGCATACATTATATAATATTGTTTCTTGCATAACTTTATATATACCAACATTTTATCCATACCACTGGATACTTTACACTTATATTATAAAACAAATTCGTGCAACGAATCCTTGCGTTGCTTATCACATCACTGTATTCTCAGGTGGAAGTCCAACACATTGCGCCACTCTTCACAGTCTTGACCACAGTATTGATAGATTCTCATAATGATCCCTGTTCTCCAGGCTGTTACCCCTTTTATGGCCTGTTTGCCATTTGATCAAGTAATCTTAATCCTATGGCTTGGCACAAGCAAAGATTTTTCCCTTGCACATCAACCCTGGAAAGTTGTCAGCTTACCCACCTTTGAAAAGCCAATCAACTTGCCCGGTGCTGCTGTGGATTCATCCTGCAACCCATAGCTGAATCTTGTACCCATTTCTCCGTGGGCTTTTGGATCGCCCAGTTCTGCTGCTTTTCTGAAGAGATGCAAAGACAATGACAGGTTGCGCAGCCCGCCTGGGGCGTTCTGACAACACACAATACCAGGGCACCGTGAGTAAGTCTGCGTTAAACACAAACACAACAGCCACTCACTGCCTTGCTTCATATGTTGACCATCAAAGTTGATGTCGGTGTGAAATAACACCGGCAACTGAGCAAGTTGATAGACACGAGGCAGCTTGGCTGGCAAAGTGACTGAAATTGCAGTAAAGCCTGCATCTATCGGCTTCCTGCACACCTCAAGAGTTTTGGCTATCTCAGTGAGGGTGCTTCGGTGCTCTGTGATGTTGTTTCCCTCATCGATGGTCAGCCTCACAGCTTCTTCAAGCAGACCAGCAGCTAGGTTGTAGTCCAATATCGTTGCCCCCGGTCTTGAGCTGGGGAATTACAGACAGCTCTCAGCAAGAAGGGCTTGCCATGCCTTGCATAACAGGTGAGGGCAGTTTTTAGTGTGGGCATTGGACCATGAAACAAAGAACCTTCCGTATTGACAGTGCATGCATCTCAAATGTGTGAGCTCACTCGTTTGTCCCAGAGACCCTGCCCAAATCCCCAGGTATGCCACAAGCAAAGTAGGGTGCAAGCCTTGAATGCATACAATTCATGCATCTTGAGGGCACCTGAAGAGGCAGCAACAGTTTCTGCACATCTTACAAGCACAATTTCACAAGCTGCACACCAGAAGGGGGAAACAAACTCTCAAAGCTGTTTGACCAGAATAACCATCACATCAGAGGCAACTAAATTCCAAAGACACTCCAGTATTGCTCCTTTGAAGCACTAGTTTTCAACCATCCACAAGTACAGAACAGATCAATCACTATGATGCATTGGACGTTCCAGAGCACAGAAAAATGCTAATCCCAACTAACTTGGGTTCGAAGACTGCCTCCCCAGCAACCTGTTCCCCACCCAACCAAGATTCCAGAGGCTTACCTAAGTTCAGAGGCCTCGTTTGGCAGCTCCTGCACCTGGGCACTGGATGATTTCCCAGCTTCAACAAAGATACGGGAAAGCAGCAGCCAACGTGCAAAAGTGCCCCAAATCATATGGAGTTGAAGCTACAACACAAACAAGTGTCAGAAAGGCAAACTCCGTGGCGACCTTTCTACTGAACTCAGAGAGGGCTCCGGCAGGGTGCACTCACATTGTTTGCTGATGTCTGACATGTTCATCCGATTTCAGAAAGCGACTCGACAGTTTGTGCTCCGGCAAGCAGCAGACTAGTGATGTAGGGAGGATGCCGCCAAAGGGACGCTGATTGGCAAGAGCACACGGACATCCCCACAACGAATACAATCCATGGTTGAAGCCTCAGCTGGCTATGCTTTTCACACGAACTCCTGGCGCCATGCACTGCCTGGCGCCGAAATTGGGCCCCACAGCCAGATGGCAGACAACGAAGCGCGACGGGGGCCCACGCCGGGGTGCCACGCGCCCTGCCGGAGCAGCACCTTCATGGTTGATCAGTCAGCCGCACGCCAGCCTCCATGCCCTGGCGCAGCGCGCAGGGCAATGGCAGCTGATATCGCGCTCTTCAGATGCAGCCTCCACCGCTGAAACTGGTGTTCCTGGCCCCTGTTGCTACGCGCTGTCCTTTGCCTGGGACTGCCGTGCAGTGGTCACGTTCACAGTGAGCCGTCCGCCTCGTTTCTTTGCCCCCGAGTTCACAACGGAACCCTCAACAGCACAAGGAGGCTCCGCTTTGCCCTTTCCTATCGGTTCCTGGGCGGCTTGGCAGTTGCTGCAGCTACGGGGTACTGCTAGTGGCGCTCCCGTGACAAGGACCCCAAGGGCAGGCTGAAAAATGGCGTGGCTAACTGCTTGAAAACTTTATACTACCTCCGTCCCAAAAGTATTGTCGCTTCCCTAATGTTGCCATAACTCGTCAGGATCGACTCAATTAGGTAATCTGCCACCAGATTCGGATTCTTTGGTCGATTTTGGGTTGACATGGGACTTGGTTACTTTGTCACTATACAGCAAGAAATTCACGGCCCCATCAAAAGCGTCCCTATCCAACTCCGTCATTGCCTCAATTCCCTGTAGTTTGTGCTCACGTTATTCCCATGTGTTCCAGTCTACTTCCCCAATATTATTCAAGAACCTTGTTGCAGGTAATAAATAGGCACTATTATAAACTTTCAAGAGTTTTGCGATCATTGCAATCACACTCTATGGGCAATCTCTTCTGTTATGCTGACATATGTCCAAAATTCTCGATTTCAACGATTGGCCATGTTGGTGCCAGTCTAGGCCGTGTTGGAGTTAGCGTCAGCATGCACTGCCATTGTAAGCTTGGTATGTCAGCTGGGTCAATGCTCTTGCAGTAATCCAGGTGTCTCGTGGGCTTTAACCATAATACACCCACAATCCTTGTCGACACCCAAAACTCTGCAGGAACCCCGCATCATTTGCTTTGCAGATTCTGCTCTGAATGTAGCCGAATCTTCAATGCATACCAAGTCAATCATCCTTCCTAGCAGGCTTGGTTTTTACACCGTAAAAACTGATCGTATTTACGTTTTTACGCGTAAAAACAGTTTTTACGTTTTTACGCGTAAAAATGCATAAAATACGTAAATACAACGTAAAAACTGCCCGGTGTACATAAGGACAGTACATGCAGACATACGGAGTCCGGAGAGTGGCAGCCAGACGCCCTGCAAGGGACAGAAAACGAGTTTTTGTTAAACACCATCATCGCCCTATCCAAGGGCGAGGTGGACACTGTGTTGCGGGTGCTGGATATGGCGGAGGACTGATCATTGTACGCAACTTTCATCATGTAATCTGGGCGTCCAAGGGAGCCGTAAAAACGTAAAAATAGCCGTAAAAATAGGCCCTTTTGCAAATTTACGTTTTTACGCGTAAAAACGTAAAAGTAAAAACGTAAACGTAAACGCAAAAACCAAGCCTGCTTCCTAGGGACAGCTCAGCTAGATCAACTCCCTTTGAGGGGCAACACGAGAACGCCATGCTCTTCCCGAGGTCCCAACGAAATGCAAGTTCGCAGTCCAGCTCTTCCTCACCTATGTCAAAAACGGCGGCACCGTTTGCTACGTTTGAGGATTCTGCAGATAGCTGTCAGCAAGGCGTGTCGAAGCTCTTCTGGTCGACTTTTCTGATTCGCACGTTTTTACCTTCGTTTGCTCGAATTAGAGAAGCGATAGTACTTTTGGGACAGAGGCAGTATAATACATCATCAGACTTCCCTGGATGGCCCAGCAACACAAAGCGCACTTGGCGCGTTGGTGGCTGTGTTTAGGCCATTTTGCCAATCGTTCGGTGGTGCCCTGTGGCACTAACAAGTTTACATGCACTTCACAGCTGAGTGATCGCTCCAAACTGTCAGTTAAACCCACGACATTGTGACCATTATGGTACACCGCACTGCATTGTGTACTGCATTATACAGAAATGCACATCATGCACGCTGAACGAGTCCCGGCGACCAGAAATCCCCGAGCTGAAAGAAGGCTTTACTTGATTGAATATACCGAAATCTTTAAGGCCAACATTGTGTCGATTTTGTTTAGGTTGACATCAAATTGACGCTTGTTGGAGAGTGGGGATGGGGGCGCTGGGTGGAATGTGCCCTCAGCAAATTACGCAATTGTCCCAAAACGACGCAAGCTAAGAAGAGACACAACCAGCCTCGATCAGCTGTAAAACTTGTCATGACTTGTTCTAAAACCTCACAGAAAATGTCGTAATTGCTGATTGAAAATGCACTTTTGACTCATCTTTAGAGCCAGCTCATTTCTGCGCTTCCGTATTCAGTGAGCTGAAGAATTCCTCGAGAGTGTCGAAATTTCGATTGTGCACCTGCAGGATTTCTGTCCATGAGCAAAGTCTGTCGGGCTTCACCCCATCACTCTCAACATTCCCCGCAGAGCAGGGGCAGCCGGGACCGCAGATCTTTGCACGCCTGGGCTCAGCTCTTTTCCCAAGGGAATTTGGGATCTTGTCTGAACAACTCCTGTCTAGAGTGCTGCTGCATAGGAAGCTGCAGCGAGAGGAGGTGCCCCGGATGGGCATCCTTTGGATGCGCTGACCTGAGCAGAATTTAGTCTACCAAGCGATCTGGAGCCAAGGCGATGATACCGGCGAGTGGCCGTCACGCTCGAGCTTGGCGCCGACAGCGGCGCACCTTGCGAGGATGGGGCTGATCAGCTCTATCCTCGCAATGCACGCGGTTGTCGGCGAGCAGGTGCTGTTATGCACCGAATCAGCCGCCGGCGCTCCGGTAAGCAAAATCTCTTTCTCTTAGAGCGCCAGTGTGCGGCGCCCAAATGCTGCCCCATTTTGCTGCCTCTGCTCCTGCAAGTCTCGAGGCCACTTTACGCCGGCTGCAACCGTTAACTGGCGCCAGTACAGGCAACTTTGTACATCATGGTATGGACGATTCGCGGCAGATTGGCTGCATGTGACCGTACTGCGGCAGTACGAAGTGGCCTGATTGAAGTGCGCAAGCGGCGGGTTGTGATTCCAGCGTGGTTCGCCCATGGGTGGTTCACCCTGGCCAGGGGCCTAGTACAGTGCACCCCATCAGCGCTGATGAGGCGCACGTGACCACATCAGGCATCATATGATTGACATTATGGGGCAAATCCAAGGCATCTTTTACATGAGGAGAATGATGTACATTCATGGCTCAAGTGGTTCCACAGCCCCCATCCATGGCCGTCATTTCTGACTTAAGGGTTGGCGACGAATAGCGCACACGGGTGCAGTCGGGCGTGCGAGGCCACGCGATCGTCGGCTTGAGGAGTGGCGTTCCTTTGGCCGCTTCATGCTGAAGACAGATCCGTCAGAGGAATGTGGAGGAAGTGCATTACCCAAGGGACGGCGTGATGTTGTGATGAAGATCGCATCAGGTGTAGTAAAAGAGACGCTATATGATCTTCGTCAGGAAACAGTGGCGGTGATGTCGCAGCAGCGATGGCAATTGCTGCCACGAGCTTATTGATACAGTATTAAGTATTGCTGAATCAAGCCTCTTGTATCAAACCCCCATTGGCGTTGATGCCGCTGATGGCATCGTTGGCAAGTGGGTGAACTCTGGCACTCCAATATTGTCAGGGACATCAAATTGCGGCAATTGTTGCCCTTTAGGAATTCGTGCATGGGAATTGCTGCAACCCTGCCAACTTGCTCATGCACATGAGCATGTTTTGGTCTTTACAGCGTAAACACTGGGCATTTAGGCGTGCTTACATGTAAAAATTGCATTTACGTTCTTTCGCGTAAATACACATAAGAATGTGTAAACTTTGACCTACTATCCGGAAAGATGATCCTTGCAGTCACAAGGGAGTCCGGGAAGTGGCAGTTAGATGCGCTGGAGTGGGCAGAAAACGATCTTTGGTTCAACCACGTCTTTGCTCTTGCTGTAGACGAGGTGGATGATGCATTGCGGGTGGTCGAGGAGGCTATGGACTGATCATCGTTGCGACTTCATCATGTGAATTGCTGCCCCGAAGAGCCATAATATTATGTAAATGCAGCTGCAAAAATGGCCTCTTTGGCAAATTTACGTTTTTACACGTAAAAACGTAAACAGTTGAACGTGAACGTTAAGGTAAATACGAAGCATGTCCACGAGAAGCAGGCCTACCGCACATGTGGGTTTTGCACTCCAACCATACCAGTCTCCTTAGGACTCCATGCACGTAGTCACGGCAGCGTGCAGGAACGTTCCTGCACACTGCGGGGACTAAGGGGCCGCTAACGGGGGTGCAACAGGCAGGACAGACAATGGATTAATTAAATTCAGCCTTCCCGTGCTGACGAACAAAGCCACCACTCGTCCCTGGTAGTTTCAGCCCAGCAAATTAGCTAACACTAGATACCTTCCTTGGTTTACATCACACCCACCGCCACCAAGGGCATTCGTACTGGGTTCAAAGGGCACACCTCCGGAGGTCTGCGAGGACACTCGCAGGATCGAAGCCCCAAAGGCCGACAGACATTTAAATGAAGTTCAACGCCATTTATCCAGCACCGCCGCAGCGTGCACAGCCAACTGATCATCTCGGCACCAATATATGCAAGGCATCGAGTTCTTATCCACGCACACACACCTGCCCTTCTCCAGTGGGCCCCAGTCGCAACGCAGCCTCTCCGCAGGTTCTTTAATTGGAGATTCCCAGAAGGAGCAGCGCGTACTCTGGCCAGACCTCTCCGGCAACCGGCCCGCCATTGCACGTTCCGCCCGACTCGCCAGGCGTCTTCGTCCACACCAGCCCGTGCAGCTCGCAGGGCCAGTCCGCAGCGGGCGTCAGCGCGGGGTCCTTGCCGATGCGCAGCGTCGGAACGTTGCACCAACCGTTGTCCGCAGTATGGCCGGCGCCGTTCCTGCCAATGTCTATGGTGTACCCCTCCTGCATGCCCAGCGCCCCGTTGATCTTCTCGGTGCAGGCGATCGACTCCTCGGTCGTCCTCGTGTCGGCGATGT